AAATTTATAATGGTTCAGCTTCAACTCGGCTTACATCCACTCCTCAAGTTTCACTTGAGATTTTCCACTATTCTCTAACTTCATAGGGTGCTAGCAACCTTTTCACAAATGGAGCAATCTTCAACGGATTTTATACAGACTTTCTAAGTCAAGAACACTGAGTGTACTACACTCTTACAAGGTTGAAAAGAAAGTGTTTTTGCTTTTACAGAAAGTTACAAGAATTATCTCTCAAAGATAGATATAAAAATGAAACTCTGGTTTTTCTGTAAACCTCACACAAGAAAGATGGGCTTAAAGCTATACGTCTCAGTGTATAATTTCCTGAAAGAGGATGTAAACAAAAATCGAAGAACACTTCTCAGAGAATTTTTTTGAAAATAGATGTGAGTGATTATAGATCAAAGAATATTTTCTGGTTATTTTTGTAACTTGTTTACATTAGAGGCTTTGTATATATAATGAAACTTATAGCCGTTTATAGCCGTTGTATTCATTTGAATTTATAGCCGTTTATAGCCGTTGTATTCATTTGAATATCTTCCACTCCATCATTACTAATTTAAATACCTTTTGGCTTGCTACTGGGCTGGGCTGTTTGAACTTTTTGGTCTGCTACTGTGCTGCGCTGTTTGAACATTTTGGCCTGCTGCTAGGCTGGGCTATTTGAACCGTTGTTTTGGGCTGTTTGAACCTTTGGTTTGGGCATAATTTTTGGGTTGAAATGAAGAACCTGATTTAAACAAATATTAAATACATTCAAACAATATTTGGGATAAAAGTTTAGGTGAGAAATAATGTGACAAAATAAATTTTGATTCTATTTTTCTCTTTCAAATAAATTAAAACATAATTAAATAAATCATCAAAATAAATTTTGGACTCTATTTTTCTTTTTCAAATAAATTAAACTATAATTAAATAAATCATCAAAATAAATTTTGGATTCTATTTTTCTCTTTCAAATAAATTAAAACATAATTAAATAAATCATCAAAATAAATAAATCTAACATAAATCATAATTCAAATTTAGATGTTATTATATTTTTTTGAGATCCATAACTAAATTCTTATCTTCTTTATTTTTGTGTGTAACCATAGTGTATGGGAGAAATTGAAAATGATGTTGTAGTAATTATGAGAAAAGTCAAAAGGGTTTGTGGGTTGGGAGAAGTCAATAAATGTTGATTTTTTTTTTTTTTTTTTTAAATCAAAAAATTAGAAAATTAGGATTAGGATGTTGGAGCTCCCACAAAGTTTGTAGATTATAAACCCCATTTTCCTTATATAATATATAGATTTATGTTTTAAGAATATATAAAACTAATTGTGGATGGATGCAATTTGTTCTCCACAGGGAAATCGAGATGAGCTGTTTCTTCTTGTGCTCTGTAAAAAAAATACCAAGAGGTCAGTGATCTCTCCCGACTAGAGTTGGCCGGGAGGACCCTCCAACGATCAAGTTAAAATATGGCTTGGACATGATATATCTGAAAGGAAAAACTTAGTTGTAATTGCTTACTCGTGAAATTTTTGCTTGCCTCTTTGTCATTCTTGGCTCTGTTTTTTTATAGTGTAGATACCTTGCATTTTGGCCGTCAGATGATTGTCTTGATCCAATGGTATTTTATGCCCCCAGACACTGTCGGAGTTGTTTTATTTTGGATGGCCTAAATTTAATTCGGACATGGGCTCTCATATTTGATTATCAGATCTCTCTTATCGGATGATCATATTATCAGGATATGCTGATCTTATATCCTCATTTTTGTCAATTCTGATCTCCATCGTCGGTTTCCAACTAATCCAAGGGCTTTCCTTTGTGTTGCGTATCTCTTCTCAAAAAGCGATCTTGTTCAAACCTTTTATCACGTGACTTTGCTCCTTTTAGATGGACCTACCAAGGATAAGGGCCTAACCCTTATTTGGAGCTTGCCTTGGCTAGGCTAAAATGTTTTGGGCCGTGTATCAATTCTCTTGGACTTTAGGTCAATATTTTTATCCTGCACAATAATATTGAATATAAAATTGTGTAAAAATAAAATAATATTTTTTTTAGTTGTACAAAATTGAGAATTTTTCAATTTATTTTAAAACTGATAAAATTGAAATTTCTGAGTTTCACACAACAATGTCTCATACAGTTGTTTCACCAATTTATTATTTTTTTTATTTTATATAATTTTATATTTAATATTGGTCTTGTTTAATAGATTTCAATGAATAGTTTATATAAAAAAATTATCAAATTAGTGTCCTAAAGTGATTTAGCTATCAAATTAGTATTCTATTTTTTATATAAAAATTATAAATTAGTTTTTGATGAAAATAAATAGTAAAAATATTTTTTTTTTCCCAAAAAAATAAAATCATATGAAAATGATGAGCATTTTTCATTTTTTCCACCAAACTAGTTATTAGTTATTTTACTTTTTTGAATATTTTTCAAAAAACAAACTTTGAAAATGAAAGTGTTTTTCAAAAAAAAAAAAAATAAAAATTCGTTATACAATTTTCAAAAACAATTTGTCAATGTAGTTTGTTTTCTGGAAACAGAACAACTTCGTCAAGTTTCACATGTGAAAATATTGTATTTTTAACAAGGACTTTTTTTAAGTGTGCAACTTACACCTTACACTTACGCCTTTCTGTTTACTGTCCTGTTTTATGTTTATACATTCCACTTGCACCTTTTGTGTTGGTTGCATATGGTGTGCAACCCATCTTCTAGGCCACATTGATTTTGTATGGGTCTTGGGTCTAGGAGTAGGAGAAGTGCAGTGAAAGATACTTTGATCAAGAATAATCCAGATATTGTAATCTTTCTAGAAAGTAAAATTGAAATTTTTTTAGGAGCATTTGGGGGACTTGGAATAGGAGTTAGGAGGCCTTATCTTTCAGTAGTAGATCCTTCGGGGATTTTGGTCGGTAAGCTACAAGTAGTATTTAGGGTGTTTTTTGTCTATAAGGTTTAGAGATTTTGATGACAACGATGAGTGGCTTAGCTTATGGGGGTTTATGGTCCTAAGTCCTAGGTTTAGATGGTCGTTTGTTGGAGTTAATTGGTTTGTTTGGGTTGTGTTTGCCAAATTGTTGTGGGAGGTGATTTTAACGTTAATGGATTTGCTTCAAAAAAAGGTGAATGGGGATGGAGTCTCAAGGCGTTTGAGAGATTTTGATGCTTTTATTACGAATTGTGAGTTGGTTGATCCACATTTGTAGTAGGCAAGGCTTTTTTCTTATAATTGCATAACAATATTTCTCTTATATTTTATTTATTTATTTATTTTTATTTGGCTATTTTATTGGTGAAGTAAAATAGATGATTGTTTTTTTTTTTATTGGTGAATATTATAAATTTTATATGTTTATTTCTTAATTTGTATTAAGGTTAGGCGGGGTTGTTATTTTTAATTGAGAGTTCTGTGTAGATATTCTCATTATAAACATACATTTTGTTTGGTGATACACACTATAAATATTTGTAATCCTTTCATAATTACAATATTAGGTAATTATGGATGAAACATAATTTAATCATTTGAGTTTAAAATGAATGAAATTTACTAATTTAATCAATTGAGTTTAATAACAATATTAAGTGATTTCGAATGGAACATAATCTAATTAATTTCTGTTTTTTAGATAAATTATATTTCTTTATAACCAAAATAATATTTCTTTATATTTTTTTAATATTTGTATCAAAAAATATTACAGACTCTATAAATTTTTCATATATAAATTATAATTATATTTTAATTCTAACAATATTTATACCGTGCCTTTAGGTACGGACATATACTAGTATATATATATGTCTGATCATCCAAATCCTAGGTGGGGTATGCACCACCCAGATCTCAACCATATTGATTAATGAGATGCTCAACAAAGTAATAATGTCAAGAAAAAGCAAACCAACTTGTTTAATTTTGATACAAGCTGGCTTAAGATAAATTCCCCACTGGCAACAAAAGGAGAGACCCCTGGGCTGATAGTTCAGAAGAAAAGAACTCAATTATAGGGTAATGTTTGGTTCTTTGTAATAAAGTGAAATAAAATGACCATTCTATTAACATGTTTATTCTCCTGAATCCTGATTGGTTGCAAACAAACATAATTAAAAAAAAAAATACATTACGAATGAAATCAATGTTCACCATTATAAAAGAAACAATTATTATTTCGTTCCATCTCATTTCAATAAATAAAATGGAGCATAAGAGTTGCTGCAAAGAGAAATTTCGCCTATTTCTTGGCTCAATGACTTGACCTCACTTGGAAAAACTCGGTCTTTAAATCAAATATCAGAAATCAGAACATGTCCTATTGGTTGGCCTATCACTACAAAGTGAATTCTCCAGTAGATACTCACTACAGTATTCATCACATTTCAATTCTATGTTTCGATTATATGCATTTGTAGAGATTTGTAGAGGGAAATGAAAATAGTTAAAAATAAATAAATGAAATATAAACCTTCTTTTCCTTTTTTGTCTTTTTCCCACTCCCCTCCATTTCCTAAACAAGATTCAAACATAGTGCATAAGGCAAAAGGTGCAACATCTTGCCGGATACCATGAACAAATTTAAGAACAAACTTCACTATACCCTTTATGTTTTGTTCCAAGTATATGAGGGTTATGTGCTCATATCCATATGTCGGGGAGTAAACCGCACGGAATAAAACACCAGGGAGTAAACCGCACAGAATAAAACACGAGGGGTAAAGTGCATTTTAAGTCCCAAGAAAATGCTGAAAATGCCCATGACACAATAAGATTAGTTATATAAAGATGGTATTTCAATTTTCACAGTACAAGCAGTGCACTTTAATTCACAAATCGCATGAGGTCACAAACCACATAGAGTAAATCACACGAAGGAAAAGTGGAATTCACCCAAAATTTAAATTCCATTAGAGCTGTTATAGAATGCAAGATTATTCCCTTAAACTGAGCCAAATTCGAAATAAAGTATGATACCATCTACAAGTAGACAACAAAGAATGTAGACTGAAGCATAGAACAAACATTTCATCACCAATATCCCCATGATACAAGGACCAGTAAAGTACATGTTTTTTCAGCTAATAAACATTTAATGGAAAACAAGTGTGTACATTCCTTAAATATTGGAATCTAGTACAAATGCAATACATATACAACCCTTTGACAAATAAATGACAAACAAGAAAAAGGGGACTCCAAAAACCACAAACTGAGATACATAACAACCAAATCAAAGAATTTCACCTGCCTGCTGTCCTTAAAAACTACAATCTGTGATCACAACAAATGCAGCAGCGGTTAAAAGAGGGGGGAATAAAAAATCACTCTTCAGGCGCGCATCACGTAATCAATACCGACACTAAAAAAACTAAGGTCATATAGGGAAAGGGCAAACTCAAAATGCAAGATATGGCAATCCAACCAAGTTGCCTGACATAAAAGTCGGACAAAAAAAGGCATTGCAAGAAGTTGCAAAAGTAGAGACATCACTTCATTTTGGTGAAATCAATTTCTAGAAGAGATCGAATTTCTTCTTCTGCATGTCTTGCTTCCATTTTGGTAATTTATAAAATGCTTCTTTCGTCACCCCCAGTACAGCCTGGAATTCCTCATCAGATAGATAAGCCTGAAAAATCAAACCGGGAAAATTATGAAAAAAGAAGCCAAAATATGAAGTGTTAAAATACAACAAGAAATGAAATCAACCAAACCTCTCTTCTTTTGAAGTCAATTCCAGTAACTGGATTGTCGGAATGAGCCTTCAGCTGTTCATAACTAAATGTACTTTGACTGGTTTCACTACCGTTCGCATCCTGCCCTTCCTCTTGCTTTGGTCCTGAATCGTCCCCATTACTATCTACTACAGGCTCAGCTACCTCTGTATCCTTAATTTCAGAATCTTCTTTAGAATCTTCTACTTGTGAAAGCACATTCTCAATCTTTGTTCCAGCAGCAAGCAGTACTTCAAATATGTCAAAATAATACAGATGTCCAAAATTAACAAATATAAATAGCAAAAAAGGAGCATAAGTATGCAAGTTGTTATACCCATGTCCTATACCGATATTAAAATGCCGCCTAACAGAAAACGAGTTCATATTTGCTTTTATAGGATGTAAAAGCGACAATGAGGATGACTTGATTCTAATGATCATGAGGTAAATTCCATGCTTCAATTGTATGCTTTCCCAAAAATGAAACATGAATGAATCAATAGCAAATGGCTTTAAACAATTTTAATTTCTCATCTTTACGTCACCCTTTAATTACACTTATCATTTTTCTTCTATATCATCACTCAATAAAACTTTCAACTAAAAATTTTAGGAGATGCTACAAAAATTGATTAGTCGACAAGGTTAAAAATTGATGAATAGAACACCATCCAGGGAGAAAATGAAGGATGCCAGTACATCCTGCATTGGGTTAACTAAAAATTTTAAGAGATGCTACAAATAATTGATAAGAATGGAGTTATCTAAATAGATAGCGAGATATATAAAGCCTAATAAAATTATCATTATGGTTCCAATACCTGGAGGGCTAGCTTCTGATGGTGGACTTGTGGTGGATCGAACTGGAGAGGCTTCAGGTGACCGCTTCTTTTCAGCAGTAAGAACTTGTGACAAAGCAGCTACTGCAGCTGCTCTCTGTGATCCTTGACTTGGGCCTGACGACCTTGCAGTAGCAGCAGCACTTTTGCTGCCAGAAGACGGACTAAATGCAGACGACAAGGCAGCTAAGGCTGAAGCTCTTTGAGTTGGTCCACCCTGATTTGATCCATTGGACTTATCCTGGCAATGCAATAGCATTAAAAAAATCATAAAGCGACCTCATTAACAAAAGGATGATGTTATGCCTTGTGCACAATCATGAGCAAGAAGATAAAAGATAATGCTAAAGTTCTAACATTTAACATCCTTGAATTTATTGTGAGCAAACATTTTGGACTACAGAATGTGAGATTGAAATTTATTCTGTAGACTTTCATATTGCCAAGGTAGGCATGCATTGGATGAAAAATAATGTCTACAAAGTTTAATATGCCATAAAATTTTCTCAGATAAATCAACAAGGTTCATTTTGCAGTTTGCAACACACATTCAATAAATTCTATATTGGTTAAAACAAAAACGCCAATAACAGAAGTCACTCTGCTGCAGAGCACTCCCTACCAACCCATCTACACAACAATGGATGATAGATTGAAAGGAAAAGATAAGACAAAGATACTATGAGCACTTTAAGAGCCAAATAAAACTATCTAGGCCTCGTGATCGTGGTACCAACCCCAAGAGGATCCCTAGGCCCTAATCCCAACCTAGGCTAGTGTAAGAGCATCTTGGTTCCTTTTCAAGATAACATTGGAAATAAGGGACTGGGGCATAGAGGGGATACACTCAGATGGAGAATCACTCAATTGAGCCACAAGAGTACCAAACGTGTCATTTCAAACATAATAGGTGAAGTGCTCAATTGGTGATTTTATTGGCTAAGGCAAGGGGTGCCGAAAGCATGTGCAAGAAGACTAAAAGTTGCCCATGTGGGACATCCTTAAACACCTAGGCTCAAGGCTAAGACACCGCATACATTAGCCTCGGCTAGTATGGCTCCACCCTGGATCTGGAACATGTAGAAATGTGTTATTAGTCCATGTGTCTCGTGAGGCTCACACGGGGTGCCCAATCTATGGAGTTGATGACATGGCAGTGTGTGGCAATGATGTGGAGAGGCAAATTGGAGATTTGGAAGCATGTACAAACAAAGTGACTCCCAAAACGATGTGTGCAACACATTTTCCAAGCTTAATATGAAAGCATTTTGTATAACAATTAAAAATTTTACCTCTACAGCATGACCTGCTCCAAATAGTAGCATAACCTTCTTCTGGAATGAGTTTCCATGAGCCTATGTCACATTGAAAACATGCCAAAGGATACATTAGACTAACATGATGCAACTAATATGAGACAACGAGAGGAGACAAGGACCTTAATAATACAGCAATAATGACCTTTATGATAAAATTATCATCCAAAGAATAACAATGTTATAACTAATCAATTTCAATAGTAATAACCAATCAATCTTCAAGACAAGAAAAAAATAGGTGAGGCATAGAATCATAGTGATGCAATTGAACTAACACACTTAACTCAGCATTTTCGAGGCCCTCTTCTAAAGCCACCCACTTAGGTTTTATCAAGCTTGTACATCTATCAATAAAATAGCAGAATTGCCGGGTAGCATTCATGAGGTAGTTTCATGGTGTTAATTTATGAAAAGTCCAATTCAAAAATATGGGATGATGGCTTACAATATAATTCAATCAGTATATGGAAATAATATTCAAAAGCCTAAGACTTCAAAAATTAAATGGGAGAAGAAAATGATGTTAATATATGAAACTATGAAAAGAACAATTCAAAAATCTGGGATGATGATTTAAAATATAAATCAATTAGTATATGGAAATAATGTTTGAAAACCTAAGGCTTCAAAATAAATTGGGACAAGAAACGCATGAAGGACAATTCCTGGTAAGTGTAGGTTAATCTGCAGGAATTGTCAAGAACCGTGACAAACATACCTCAAAGCATCTAGAATGTAAATAATACACTTTATTGTAAAAAGAGAAAATAATGTCCATATAGAGTCACAACGTATATAAAAAGTATATTTTGGCATGTCTCTAAACTGTACACAATTGATTTGTAAAACTTAAAATCTCTTTGTTAATAAGTAGTGACATAAAACATTCATCTATAGCTCTACGAATAGATTTGTCCTAGAGAAAAAAAGTAAAAAGATAGTTCATTTTCTTTTCTTTTTTTATTTGGAAGGGGGGTTGGCTTGAAATTAGAGGATCTTTCCTGAAAGGATACAACGGCTCTTCAACACGAATTACACTTGTTCCTCTGCTGTAGCTCTACGTTTTATCTAAAAAAATATAGTCTGTCTATTTTATTTCTGCACCTTTTTTTCTCCAGCAAACTATTTCTCCTTTTTCTCTGAAGTAGTTTTTTTCTATGAAGCACGGACACGGACACGGACACGGACACGGATACGGACACGGGACACGGCAATTTCCAAAAAATGGGGACACGGACACGGCAGGGGACACGGCGATTTTTTTTTAATTTATATATATATATATATATATTTTTATGTGTTATGTAGATTCGTATTACATTCATTCTAAATCAAAATTAACAAATACTAATATAGTAACATTAATTCCATAAATATAAGAGAGGGAAAAAAAATTATAACCATTTTTTTTTATGAGTGAGGAGTGACTTTCTGGAGAAGAATGCCACCATAACCAATATCAGAAGCATCAGTTTGAATAATTTTGAATGAATTCTCAGTAGGAATACCAAGACAAGGAAGAGACTTAACATATTGTTTGACCTATTTAACAATAGCAGTATAAACAGAAGACCAATGAGGAGGATTATCCTTTAACCTATCAAACAAGGGTTGACAAGTTTTTCGAAGGTCCTTATAGAATTCAGCAATGTAATTAAGGGAACCTAAAAACCTTTGCAATTGAGTTTTATCAAGAATTTCATCAGGAAACTTAAATGCAAACTCAATAAAGCGACTAATAGGCAGAATTGTATTGTGGTGAATATCATAACCTAAAAATCTAACTTTATTTTGAAATAATTTAATTTTAGGAGCAGATATGACCAAACCATGACTTTTAATTGTATAAAAGAATGCAGTTAAATGTTTCCAATGTTTATTAATTGATTTAGAGAAAATTAATATATCATCAATGTAAACAATAGAAAAATTAAAAAAAATAAAAATAAAAATAAAACTCAATCTGTCTCAGTCGAATCGAAAGCTGAGAGAGAGAGAGAGAGAGAGCGCGAAAGAGGAGACAGAGGCGAAAGAGAGAGAGCGAGAGACGCAGAGAGAGGGGCTTACCTCGAAGACGACTGGATCGACTGAAGAAGAGACTGAGGGCTGCGATCGACGTCAGAGGGCTTCGATCGACGTCGGAGGGCTCGATCGACGTCAGAGAGCTGCGATCGACGTCGGAGGGCTGCGACTGAGAGACAGCGCCTCGATCAACTTCAGAGGGCTTCGACTGAGAGAGAGGGCTTCGACTGAGGCAGGTTTGATTTTTCTCCTTTACTCAGTTTCGATTAGGGCTTGTTTTTATTTTTATTTTTTTTTACTTTATAAATATTATACTTTGACCCCAAATAAATATAAAAAATTCAAAAACGAGGCCCGCCGTGTCCCATGGCGTGTCCAGAAATGGACACGCGTGTCCCCTCCGTGTCCCTGCCGTGTCCCCTTCCAAAAAAATCATTAAATTAAAGGGACACGCCATCTGGCGTGTCCCGTACGTGTCCACGGCGTGTCCCCGTGTCCCCGGCGTGTCCGCGTGTCGGACACTGCTACGGCATCAATTTTGGAGTGTCCATGCTTCATAGGTTTTTTTCTCTTTAAACTAATTAGGATCAAAGTATCACCTATTATATATTTAATTTATATGAATTGGTTTACATATTTATAGAATAACCATTCTATTAAATAAACCAATCAACAAAGAAAATTCCCAACATCTCCAGCAGCAGGGGAGGTCCCTGTCTATTTATATATATATATATATACATAAAATAAAATAAAAAAGAAAGAAAGTATAGGTGCTAATTCTGAAACTTAAGGGGAGGTCATAGTAACTTAACATACTTTTATTTCCCACAAAAAGAGACTGTACTCAGTTCTCAGACACGTAGGTATGAAAAGGATTACTAGAAAAGAAGATCAACCTATGAAGCACGGATACGGATGCAGATACGGATACGGACACGGATGCGGACACAGGACACGGCAATTTAAAAAAAATGGAGACACGGACACAGCGGGACACGACAATAAAATATATTTTCATATATTTTTATTTGCTTTCTGGATTAATATTACATCCACAAACAATCAATATTAACAAAAACTAACTCTAATTCTATTTTTTTAAAAACACTTTTAAATTAACACTTACAGTTTATATCTTTTTTTATAAATGATCTATTAAGTATTTAAATCTAAGAAAAAAATAATAAATACTCAACATTCATCAAAAATACTAAATAAAATGAGGAAAAAAGACAACTTGGTATGTCCCTAGCATGTCCCCAGTGTGTCTCCTAAAAATAAATTAATTAAATAAGGGGACACACCATGTAGTGCGTCCCATACGTGTCCCCGAAGTGTCCGCATGTCCCTAAAGTGTCTGTGTGTCCGACACGGATACGACACTTGTTTTGAAGTGTCAGTGCTTTAGATCAACTGAAAGGTCAGAATTCTTTCATTGTTTTATATGTCAAGTTACTTCTCAAGTCCAATGCTGAATTTATTTTAGCATAACTGTGAGACATAACCCAAACAATATAAATATGTAGCCCAAGGATGTGCAAATCATGAAACTAATTCTTTCTAATGTTTATTTCTACTTAAAACCCAAACAATATAAATATGTAGCCCAAGGATGTGCTAAAAACGAAACTAATTCTTTCTAATTTTTATTTCTGCTTAAAAAATCCATCAATCCATCCTTCACTAAAAAGGGAAAAAGAAAAGGAAAAGAAAAAGAAAAACGGATGGATTGTGATAAGAATTTTTTTTTTCACTAGTGAAGACTACATGTTTGTGTCACACTTGCTGCATTGCACATGAAGCACAGAGCTTAACACCCACGTGCACCATAGCATGAAAATGCACCTCTAAACTTCTCGAGGAATTCATTTCCACACCCCATTATTCATTCTTCCATCTTTCCTTTTCAAAGCATGGATTAGTCTAAAGCTTGTGTTTGGGAAAACCCAAACGGACCAAACCATCTGGCTGCTTTTATTCATTTTCCGCTTCCTACTATTCATGGTCATCCTTTCTCCAAAATGAAGAGCATATTACCAAACCAAACCAAACCACGCCTTAAGTCCCATGAAATGGGAGTCAGCTACATGAATCCTTCCACGCGGCTCTATCAAAGGCCATTTCGTTAGTCAAATTAAGTAGATCCATATCTCTATTTACAATGCTAGCCAACGTTAATCTAAGTCTACCCGGTCCTCTAACATTTTCATCTACCGTCACTGCATCGCATCTCTTCACTACTGCCTCTATTGGTCTCCGTTGAATATGACCAAACCATCTTAATCGATTCTCTCTCAACTTATCTTCTATCGGTGCTATTCCTACCCATTCCCGAATATACTCATTCCTAATTTTGTCTTATCTAGTTTTGCCACACATCCACTTTAGCATCCTCATCTCAGCAATACTCATCTTATTGACATGTTATTTCTTGGTTGCCCAACACTTCGTCCCATACAATATCGGTGGTCTAATAGCCGTTCTATAGAACTTAGCTTTTAGTCTAGTAGATATTCGTTTATCGCACAGTACCTCAACCGCACTTCTCCACTTAAGCCATCCTGCCTTAATCCTATGGGCCACATCCGCATCAATCTCCCCCGCCGTTGTGATAATCGACCCTAAATAACGAAAATAAATTTACACTCCATGTACTTTATCTTAGTTCTGCTTATCCAGACTCCTTTAGATTCAATTGTTTTTCTCCAAATCTCCAACTTTGTGTTAACTCCTCTAGTCTCTTTTTGATTAGCAACTCCTTCTCTAATCTCACCCACTAATTTACTATATTATAGTACTATTCATATGTCTTGCTCATTCCAATAAATAAATAGACTGTGTTTCTTGCTTTTAGATTCTAGTCACATCCAATTGTTAGCTTATTATTTATGAACACTTCTTTATGTGCTGCAAAGAATTGTCATACCCCTTCCATAACTATCTATATATTCTAGTCATCACTTGCCTCACCTTACTCTGGAGCCCCTCGCTGCTTCTGATCGAAATTTTCAACCCTACATTCAGACTTGCGTAGTGACTACAGTTTGATTGTCACTGAAGACGATTAAAGTCTTGATTAGGTGCCGAAAGCTAAAGAAAACCTAATTTTGTAATTAACTCTTAAACTTCACAAATTTTTCTTTCCTTGTAACATCACTAACTCTTGGATTCACAGGTAGATTACTTATTCTTTTAATTTCAACTATTCATGCCTAATGCAAAACAATCAAATTTCAAAGTCATCTTTGCCACAAAAAAAAAGAAAAAACACTCGCTTATAAATTGATCAAAACGTAACAGTAACACCAAAAAGAAAAGTTTTGTTGCAGCACATACAGTAGCTTTCACAGGATCCCATGAAAAATATGCAGTGAAGAAGCATGGTTCATTTCCTTCTGTGACTTTGTATAGTGACACATATAGAGACAAACCCTCCAGAGACGCCGCCATATCTATGTATTTCTGCAATGAACTTCAACACTCAACAAAGTACACAACAGAATGAATACTTTCGCAAGAAGCATAAACTACTTGAGCAGTACCTGGCCAAATTCAAAAGCATTTTGCTTTTCTTTGGAGTCTACGGACTGACCAACCCAAACAAACACTTCGGCATGTGTGTCAAGTATCAAGATATCCTCGGTCAACAGGTCATCTTGAGAGAAGTTGTAAACTTCTTCAACCTGCAAAATGAAAAATACAAATTCAATATATAAACTACTGAACACCCAAATCAATACAAGAGGAAGTTCAATCCAATTCGAATGTTCAGAACTCACCTCAAACTTTCCTGGGGATCCACATGTCATCAGAAATGATCAGAACAATAGTTAGAAATTCATGTAAACTACGTATTTAACAACTTTTATCAATTATACCAATCCAAGCAGAAAATGCAAGATTACACAACACAAATTGCTATCATAAATAGAAATGCTACCTTCTTTACTGAATGAGAATGTGAACAAGTGGGGATCTCTGATATTATCCTGCGATACCTTTTTGCTGGTATAACTTTGTTTCCCTCCAAGAGCAAACCAGAAGGATGAGCTCTCAGTTCCTTCTTTAGCATGTTTCACAGTTCCTCCTGGCTGAATTTATAAGCCAAATGAATATCATTGATTAATCACAACCTATCAATTCAAATCTCAAAAACTTGACAGAAACACATCAAGCATAACATGCATGATGCCAACCCATGAACGATCTAAAGTGCACATCCAATTAATTTGATTACACACAAAAATATAAACATGTCTATTAGCTTTTGTAAACTGTGATTATCTATGTTATAAGTAAATGAAGGGATATGTCGATACCCAGTAAAGCATTTAAATCTTTGATCATATTTCATAATTTGAGAACTCGTATCTGAGGGAAAATGCGAAAATGAAGTAAAGAAAATAAATCAATCAAGTATCAATGTATAACATGTTTTCAAATACTACTGGAAACAAAAGTTGGCATATTTACACATTCATTGTACTAGAAAAAGAAATATGCTTCCTGAGTACATGTTAAAAATCATCCAAAAGTACTAAATTCCACAATTGCAGAGACTTTATTTGGAGTTAGGTTTTTGTAATGTACAAGTCAAGTCGAGCTGGTAATGGTTAGACTTTTTAAAACAATGCATATGACTATTACAACAGCATGAGATGAACAGAAAAAATGGCGAAAGCACACAATCTAATGAAAATCTTATGACATTAGCCAAGCAATTAATATCCAGGCACAAACAGATGTCAAAAGGTAATATAATGGGGGGAAATAATCAGATTTACACCTTATCCTTGTCAATACAATACCATCTCTATGTCTAGATATAAAATTAAACCACAATCCAGTTTTTAATTCCATCGTCAAATATCTTCATATCTGCATCTACCTGTTAAAGTCTGAAGTGAGAATATTTGGACAAAGGACTTGCATAAGCAGCAGGCACAAAAATTCTTCCAAGCTCCTTGCACATATCACAGTCTGCTACTTGATTTCAAAGGGTACAACAGATTTTGTTCATTGATGTCAGGATCTACCAATGCAGACATTTATGTGCCACACTCAGGGAGGCAGCAGTCCTCATGTCAATTTCCAGTGGTCCAAGCATCTCAACATGTGAAAAGTTTCAGTTGTTTTAAACAAAGCAAAACCACTTTCACCCCTTAATTATAGGAGCACTACGAAAAAACTAAGACTATCCCTTATTTTTATGAAAATATTTGTAATATTCTAATTTTTTAAGCATATGCCATAACAATATTTCTCCTTGGAATCTTTTATTATGGTGTAGCTATGTAACTAGAATAATAGTTTTCATGCAAAAGGTTTTTAATTAGCTGTGACTCTAATATATATATATATATATAGAAAATGTAGTAAAGGAACATCTTATAATCAAAAAGGTTACTTAACATTGTCTTTGTACACAGAAAAATAAAAAATAAAAGAGTCCCAAAAATAAGTCAAAATTAATGATATCGACAGAGATAATGAGAAAAAATAACCAAAAAAAAGTAATTCAAATATTCAAAAGTAACAGCAATCACCAGGAAAAAAATAATAAAAAAAATAAAAAATAAAAAATGAGGAAACGAAAAGAAAAGAAAAAGAATGAAAAGGGTTGGAATCTAATATTTTTTGGTGATATCTCATTTTCATCATAGCTTCCAATTTCCATTATTCAATTTCGAAAACGTTGCCTAAATCTCATCTACACTGGGACATGAAATTTCTTAAAGTTTCTATTTTCCAATAATGCTAGTGTGTTGATTGTTTGAAGGAAAAGAATATTGAACCATAAATATTTAAATGCCTGAACATTTACCCTTAGGAATTCTTTCTTACCATGTGTAGACACAAATTTCAAAACATGAAAAGTTTCAACACATCAATGTTCATGTCACAAACATCCACTGTTTAGTTGTTGGACTAATCAATGTGGATTATTTAATAGTAGGTTCCTATGTCCAATCTGGATTCCAAATTGTTAATTACTCACTTGAACAACTGAAAGTTCCAATTAATGGAGAACAAAAAGAAATAATTGACAAAAGAGAATTTAAACAAAAAAAATGATTCCATTAAAGTTTTGAGGTTTCAAAGCCCCTAAATACACAAAGTACTAAAAAAAAAAATTAAATACATTCAATGGGCTTCAAACCCTTTACCTTATAACACGCCTTCTCAGTATGCATGTTAAGTGTTGTGTGTTGTTGCTCTTCACGATTCTATAAATTCTAAATTTCTCTGTAGCACTTAATCTTTCAGCTTTCGTATTCTCATCTCCCAGTCCCTCTTTGGTGTAATGATCATCATATTTATAGAGGGTCATTCACTTGAAAAGGGACTCATCATCAATTTGAATTTTGAATTTTATGATAATGTTGTTTAAATTTAAACACAATGTTATCATATCTTGTATTTCAAAGCTGGTTGACCATATTGATCTTCTAGATTTTATCCCGTGAAGCTTTTCTGCCATAAGTTCTATACATGTTGTCCTTTGATTGAACGCATCATAGGCAGAATTTGGTAGACTCCACATGTCACATGACTTGTATATGCTTGAAGATCTTGAGTAACATGTATCTTATCCTGTATGTCAACTGATCATATTAAACTTTTTTTGAGTTGGTATCCTACAACTTTTCGCCGTAGGCTCTGCATGTGCCATAGCCTGATTGAACATGTCGCCATTTGAACTTTATAATCTCCACGTGTCACTTACTTGTATACGCTTAAAGACTACGAATGTTAAAGGCTCGTCATCTATTTTTTTTTTTTGGGAAGAAAAGTCTCATCATCTAATTGAACCTAGAATCTTATTCTAAATTTAGTTGAAATTTACATTCCAATAGTAAGAAGAAAAAAAAAATCTGGACTACAACATTTGTCCTTACAAAATATCACAAGACACACCTAGAGAGAGAGAGAGGGATAAAAAATATTACTCAATCAAAATTTCCCTAATAAACAAGATTTTTGACAAAACTTGAATATAAAATTTAATTATGATGTAATTGATATATATTTAGATTCTCATGATACTCAATTTCATGACCTGTTTATTTCAAAATTTTCAGTCATTGAAGATGTGTCACATCATGCTTCTACAACATTGAAAAACTCATCCCAAGTGGCCAACCCATGCTTCTTAGAGGTCCAAACTTAACCAGAGTAAAAAACCATCTGACATGAAGTAAATGTTATGGCACGAGCATACCTTCAAAAATTCTGCAACCTTTGCAGCCAACTGCTGCTGCTCAAAGGTACTTTGATTTCCATGCCAAGTAAATAATGAAGATCCAGATTGCAGAAGGAAACATTCATTGGAGTTCAATGATGTTGCAACCTGACACAAATATTCAAGTCTGTCAGATAGCTTGTCATATGGAGAAGAAAAAAAGGACCACTAATGAAAATTGATATTTACCTATGTAGGGAGTACAAATGAATGCATATATACAAAAACTAATGTTAGATAATTATGTGCAGAATCCGAACTCATTTTCTACTTCATATGTATGTCCAGTTTTTATCATCAAGCATTACAAATATTTTCATCATTCAGTTCTATCTAGGGCAATTTTTCGCTTAAGCCATGGGCGATCATCTACCTCTCCCAATCTTCGAAGTTAAAAACAAGCTACTGTTCCATAAGGGGTACAGTCATCGGTTTTCATGCATACTGCCTGCAAACAGTCCAATTAACCAGATATCACTAGGGTACCACATGGATAGATATGCCATGTTGCGCCTTGATTATTCATGCTTGGGAACTTCAAATTGGTTGTGGTATGGCGAGCTATGAGGAAAGTGCTAGCTATGGTGCAATGTCACAAGTAGGAGGCAGGTGTGATGAGCCATGTAATATCATGCACAACAAGGCCAGCTGATGCAGTCCACAATGGGAGCAAGGAAAACCAAAATTAATGAAGCATTAATGTTTGGAAATTGCTTGGTTTGGAGCTGAACTCAATTGGGATCAATTAGAACCATCTATAATTATGTTTCCAATCTTACAAGAGTCTTATTAATGTTAAAGCTGTTGGGTCAGTATTAGGGTTAGGCTATTTTCGGTAATTTGCAGAATTTTGCGATATGTGTTGTGTGGATTGCCCATGGGTCGTCTTGTGAATTAAGTTATTTAATTAGTCTTTGTTTTTGTTTCTTATTTGGTCTTAGATTAGTTTTGGAAGCCAAAAGCTTAGTAGTTTCCTATTTTGGAGTTTTAGTTAGGTTAGAAAGTCTCATAGTTCTATATAAATTCATGTAATACTTTTTATTTAATGTAGTTAATATTTTAGAGAATTTCAGAGCTTTCAAAACTTCTTTATGGATGTTGTACCTAAAAAAAACAAAAACAAACAAACAAACAAAGCTTCTTTATGGATTGTGTGATGCAATCAAACCATAAGTGAGATGCCTATGGAATCTAGGTGCGATGCCTAGACTTTTTCTTCTTCTTTCGTATTCTTCTTCTATTTCAGTTTACCATTCACGAAATCCTGTTCACAGCTCATAAACAGCCCCTGTTTTGATCTCTTTCCTATGAAGCATGGACACTCCAAAATTGGTGCTGTGGCGGTGTCCGACACGCGGACACGCCGGGGACACGTACAGGACACGCCAGATGGCGTGTCCCTTTAATTTAATGTTTTTTTTGGAAGGGGACACGGCGGGGACACGCGTGTGCACATCTGGACACGCTATGGGACACGGCGGGCTCTTTTTTGAATTTGTTATATGTATTTGAGGTCAAAGTGTAATATTTAAAAAGTAAAAACTGAGGGTGAAGAAATATAGTGAACCTGCGAAGACCTTCTGAGTAGAAGCCCTCTCTCTCTCAGTCGATCGAAGCTCTCTCTCTCAATCATCTCAGTCGAAGCCCTCTCTCAGTCGATCAAAGCCCTCGTCTCAGTCGAAGCCCTCTCTCAGTCGATCGAAGCCCTCTCTCTCTCTCTCTCTCTCTCTCTCTTTGTGGTCTGTTTTCGACTTCGAAGGTAAACACTGATTTATATTTTTATTTTTTTATACGTTTATATATATATATATATATATATGGATATATCTCTTTCGACTGTGTGGCTATATATATACGTTTATTTATTTATTTTGTTTTTAAAAAAATTAATTATTGGTTTATATATATATAGTATGGAAATTCTTTTTTTTTTTTTTTTTAATCCTTCTAATGTTAATGTTAATTAATAGGAAAAATGTCTAGGTAAAATAAAATAAAATAAATTAATTGGAACACATTATTTAAAAAATATAATAAATAAATAAAATAATTAATGTGTATTAAAATAAAAATATTTATAAAAAAATTAAAAAATTTGCCGTGTCCCCTGCCGTGTCCGTGTCCCCATTTTTTAGAAATTGCCGTGTCCCGTGTCCGTGTCCGTGTCCGTGTCCGTGCTGCATAGTCTCTTTCACCCGGTCTATCAATCCTAACATAGTTCAATCCATTCATTAATTGAAATCTTAAAATTCCTATTGATTTTCAGCTTTAAGCCACAACAAAAGTCTCTTTCACCCGGTCTATCAATCCTAACCTAGTTCAATCCATTCATTAATTGAAATCTTAAAATTCCTATTGATTTTCAGCTTTAAGCCACAACAAAAACCCACAAAAATATAGCTTTAAAGTCCTCACAGTGCTGTCCCTAATTGTCCTGCATCAGTTTGGTAAATTACCAATTGAAGTTGATGAAAACCCTACAAGAAGATGCAATCCAATCAATATGTTCAGAATTTTCCTACGGGATTCTAGGAGTGATTCCTAGTCTTCTTCGTCTTGTTCTTTTCTGTTCTGTTACTGCTCATAAATTACTATTTGCAGTCCATAAACAGTCTTTATTTTGCCACCAAATTCTTATCTTTTTGAGCCCAAACCATTCATAACCAAACCCTAAACAATCCTTAGTATTATTTCACAAAACCTAACCCTAGGTAGCTTAAACTTGATTCAAAATTGTGTGTGCTGCATCACCAGCATTTGCTAGTTGTGCTGCCCTGGACTTGGTAAACTCTAATCCCTAACTGTCTATGAGGAGATAGAGGGATGGCCATGGGACACGTCACACTTTTTAAGGAACAATGTATTGGGCACATGTCCACATTTTATTGGAACTTCTCACATGTGCCAGGCCACAAAGGTTGACTTTGCCTATAAATACCTTTTAACTCGTTTAACATTAACAAAAGAACTCTTGTTCTATCTTCTATTTCCTTGCCATTTCATTTTTCTTTTTCTTTTTTGTTTTGTAAATATGATTTCATTCGTCTAGTGCAAAGGCACACTCATGTACAAGAGACCAAGCCCTTTCTTCGGTGATAAGTCATGAACCACGGTTCAAAGTCAATAGCTGAGCTGTAGCCCTCCCACACAACTCATTTGCACAACGAAGTGATACACAAAAATACACTGCTACAAGGGTTAAGAGATCTAAAAGAATCGGAAAGATTTTTAGGCAATAGGAATAATAGAACAAAGCCATAAAATAAACAAAAGACACTGTATACAACAGATTTAAAAACCCTAAAAAGTTTTAGCTCAAGAGGCAAAAATATCACAATAGGTACATACAGCATCAACTTGAACAGCTTTATTTTTATGCACAGAAGTTCCAGATATCCGGATGAGCGCAACACAATCGGCAGTGTAAGTTTCATCATTTAAACCTTTGTCTGCAATATAGTTTTTGTAACCAGAGCTCATTCCACCCTAATAAAAGAAGATCAGTTGATTCAGTTCATCAAAATAAAAGCAACTTAAAAGGCTTTTGAACCAAGCATCTTTGGCCAGATATTAATCCTAGTGTGCATTTTCAGGAAGAGTACCTTAAGAACCACCATAGGCTGGAAGATGGCAATAAATTGTGGTGGTTCTTTCCCTTGAAATATGCGACCCTACACAATGCACATATTTTATTAATCTTAAAGATTGAATCCCCAACAGAACAAGTAACAAACTATTGCGATACCTGCACAGGTCTTCCCTTCAGTGAGTTGAACATAGTAGTAGCTAAACGGGCAGACATCTTTTGATCCTCCTGAACTTGGAAATACAACAAGGTTATCATAGTTATTTGAAAACAAAATAAAATAAAATGCGACCAACCCATAGAAGGAAAGCAAAATACTAAAACTTTCATCTGCATGTATCAGAGCAACGTGAGGAATGAATTACAATTAGAAAATATACAGCTGAAAGTAGGTAGCAAGAGAAAAAAAATGAAGATATTAATCCAGCCCATGATTTAACTGTTAATTGAATCTGAGTGAAGTGGAAATCAAAATTTGAAAAATTCAGCAAATTTGTATGTTAAAGTTTAAGGAATGAACATAATGTTACAATAGTAGGACAGATGTCACAGAAAGAAGTAGTACACAGTCTAAGATCTCAGTAATAAAAATAGGATCCAATAACAACACATTGCCACAATATTCTACAGATTCATAACAAGTATTACTTCAAGGATTATGGGAGTTCCAAAAAGGTCATAGATTCTGAATAGCAGGGAAAACTAGCTTAGGATTTCATAAGACATATACGAATGAAGCCAGTCTTTGATATCTCTTCTATAAGCATAGAGTGTGGTATCATAAAATAAAAAATTACAATCTGACATCGAAAATAAAGGAAAAGAAACTGAATATTAGAAGGGACATCAGTTAAAGACATGTAGTTTTTATTTTTATTTTTAGAAGTAAGGTTAAAGAATTTGTAACCATTTTTTATATATTCTGCAATATAATATGAATCCTTTCTTTTCATTACTTCAAAGTCAACAGTGAAAAAAGTAAATTACCTCAATGCTATCCTTCCCAATCCAACAGCACAAGTAGTAATCTTCTTTCTTATCACCAGAATGGTAGGTGTAAAGAACAATGTAGCAATCTCCACTGTAAAATTTACCTACATCTTCCTTGGGCACTGGAGTCTTAGCACTGCCATTAATGCGCCATACCTGGAAAACCAAATATTCAATATTCCTACCACATCAATATAGCCAGCCAACACTAGTCATTTAAACTATAAATACAACCACGAAAACAAATTGGTTACCAGACCTCAATTTTTCCACCACCTTCAAGCAAAGGTGGGACTTCCTCATTTATAGGAGCACCTTTGGTCATTCCCTTGACCCCAACACCTTGTTGCTTCAGCAAAGCTACCAGTACAAAGAACAGTTCCATAATCAATGATGATATCCAGCAAATCTTTCAGTGTGTTTCACAACCAAGGAAATGAATCTACCTGCTACTTTTCCTCTTCCCTCCTCGCCAGTTGAAGGTGCTGATCCTGATGGCCAAGAATCAAAATTGGATTTGAATGAATTCGTCTCATAACCTTGAATAATCCGAGTGATGCGTGTTGACTTGGGCCTATTTTGGCTACTGACAAACTCCTGCAGATCACAACTAGGGATAAGAATCGGGCTGTTATAGAAGAACATTTAGATATAAATGCTAAGCTTCTCAACCTCAGTAGCTTGGCTGGCAGCTTTCCTGTCCTCCACTTGTGTTACCCGACCAACCCAAAGAAATACCTCAGCACCACAGTCCAATAAATAGCATCTATTGTTTTCCAACAAAGATTTAGAAAGTTCACCATCTACAGGATTAACCTGTCCATCAATGATGCTGCAAAAAGTGACAATCATAACTCAGCACCTCATGTTGATGAATGCACATTGCAACAACCACAATATTCTCCTTACAAAAACACAAACTCGACCATGGGAGAACATATATATGTGAGCCAATCACGACCAAATTATTACTAGCATGAAAAATACCGACAAAAAGTAAACAAAGCAAGCTCTTATGCAAAAGAAAACACAACA